CTCGAAATGGAAGTATGTACAACAATTTTGAAGCAAGAGAGTCCTCGAAACCGTACTTATCTTCGCTAATGCTATTTAAATACTCTCGATCTCGAGTAGATTTTCCAATTGTTATATACATCCTACTTACTAGTAAGGTGATAAAATGAAGATAAAATAACAGCAGGCCCCAAAATCGATAGGACATTGCCGTCAAGTTTTCTTTTTTTCAATTACCATTTCTTTTTGCCCAATTTATTTTAGACTCATCAAACTTCTTGGCTGTGATCGTTCTGATGATCTCGCTTCCTTGGTATGCCTACAGCAAGTAAAGGCCGATGACATTGTCGACATGCATGACCGCATGTTTGACACCAAATCCTACTTCTCAGTACCGTTCCCGCCAGTGCTAGACAACCATTTTCTGCCCTATGAGAGTCAGCATAACTTCAAGTCCATGACCTACCTGAAGCCGTCGGGCTCACTTATGCTGGGCACCAACAAGAATGAAGGCAGCTATTTTTTACTTTATGCTTTTCTGGGCGACGACGCATTTCGCCGTAACGAAACAGACCTTCCGATCAACTCAATCCACGATTACTGGCCCAAACTGCTCAAAGTGCTCGACCTTGAGTCAGACGACAACCAAGAAATGGTCCAATTGGTGGCCAGTCACGCAGATTACGAGTACCGCAACTTTTCACAATTGGTGAGGCGTATCGGGATTAGAGAATATACTATATCGGCAAAACAGTATCAGTAATATGAGATGTATTCACCCAATTTTATTTAAGATAATGAAGGACTGGTAGAAGAAATTTCCCACAAGGATATGAGTAGGGCTGACGTTTCCATTGAATTTCACAGAGCCTTGCCTTCCCAAAAGTTGTTCTCATCCAGGGTGGACTTTTGGGAAAGCAACGCCATGTGAAATTCAATGGAAACGTCAGCCCTACTCATATCATTATGGGAAAATTCTTCTACCAGTCCTTCATCACTTTAAACGAGATTGGGTGAATACATCTCATATTACTGATTTACTGGCAGTCTTGAAACAATGCTTAAATGCCAAAAACCGGATCTGACAAGAATTATAGTCCAGGGATTTTGTACCAAATTAAAATGAGCAGTTGATTATATCAGTATAACGAAGACTAATCACAACTCATGTAAATGATGAAAGACTGGGTTTAGAAGAATCCATTTGTAAATTATTTTACCATGACTTTTTATTTGCAACTAAAAGTTGGCTGGGAGGAATTAGTGAACTAGTCTCATCGGAAAATGAAGGTGTATTGTCGTGCGGTGACGATTGTTGGATTGCGCGAAAAATCCTCGGTTCATCGTCCTGCGACTCCGATGGATCCGTGCTAAGCATTCGTCTGGAGGATTGTTATTGGAACAGGAAGAATCGCTGATCAAAAGAAGAAGGCTTGAGTTTCCTCGAGTCTGATTAGGACTCTCACACTTTACATGACTTGGACATTTTATACACACAATACCCAAACCACATACTTAAGACTTGAAGGATCTTTTAGGCATGTAAGCAGCTGTCACTAATTCCATTTCCTTTTTGTGCATCAACCTTTCCCATCTACAAAAATGTATGTTAGGCATGAAATAGTCATGAGATGCCTCATTATAATAGCAAAGTGATATGTGAGAAGTCAGTGTGATTGCACCGGGAAATCCTTGCTTTCTTAGTCTATTATGTTTGTTGCTGTTGTTTTGTAAACTATGTTTTTTACTTTCTGATGATGTCTGCCACTGCATGAAAGTAAAATGCCTAGCAAGGGCTTATCGGAGTCGAGGCGTTCTTCAAACAATCCAATAGTCTTCAGTCCGCGGCAATCATCCTGTTTCCGATAAGACCTATTCACGAATTCTTTCTTAACAAATTTTCTCAAGAAATGAAAAGTAATGT